ACGTAATAAATAAACACACGGTCACTTGGCGAAGAAGCTTCCGGAACGATAGCGTTGACGTTTCTGGCAGCGTTCGCCACCACCCTTCGCCAATGCTCAGATACTGAAGTGGGTTGTGTACCCTGGTGCAGCAAGGTGTGGGCAATAGCAAGGCATGGTCTCACTAGGGGCAAAGGAACATTTGTGCCCCATAAATACCAGGCTATGGCCATCTCCAACGAGAGAGAATCTCACCGTCACCCCCTTGGCATTCAATGGTGTTCCCATCACTGAATCCCCACCCGCCCCCCTCACTATCAACATCCTGGGGGTTACCACTGACCACAAACTGAACAGGACCAGCCCCACATAAACACAGCGGCTACAGGAGCAGGTCAGAGGCTGGGAATCCTGCAGCAAGTAACTCCCCTCCTGACTCCCCCCCGAAAGCCTGTCCCACCATCGACAAGGCACAAGTCAGGAATGTGATGGGATACTCCCCACTTGCCCCGGATGGGGGCAGCTCCAACAACACTTGAGAAGCTCGACACCATCCAGGGACAAAGCAACCCCCCGCTCGATTGGCCCCACATCCACAAACATCCCACTCCCCCCCCACCACCGACGCTCAGTAACAGCAGTGTGTACCATCTACAAGATGCACTGCAGCAACACACCGAGGCTCCTCAGACAGCACCTTCCAAACCCACGACCCACTTCCATCCAGAAGGACAAGGGGCAGCAGGTACATGGGAATACCAGCCCCTGCCTCTGTCTGATAATAGCCAACACTGTGAATGCTAAACCCCAGACACTCACCCCACACAGATCCCGATCCTCTGGATTCTCCAGCACCGTCTTGATCTTGCCCATGTGAGAATTGACAAACTTTTTGCACTGTCAGAGCCAGATGAAAAGAAGAGAGAGATCAGCCGATTACTTTCTTGTGGAACTGACTAATTCTCGGGGCGCGCTCGAGAACGTACGCACGGTGACAGAGACATAAAGTGAGACAGAGAGAGAGAGAGAAACAACAATGTCCCATTGCATACTGCATTTGCATAGTCCCTGCAACGGAACTAATCTATCCCAAGGCACTGTGTATTTCTGAACTGGAACGCTTGAAAATCCATTCCCTTCAAACATCGGAGAGTCTCCCTTGGTCAATGAGGATGGTTTTTAAGGTGTGACTTACTCAGGATGTAGAGAGCCGTTGAAGTTAAGGAAAGGAAGTTCAGAGTTTATGGCCCAAGGAGCTAATGGGGCAATCGGGGGTGAACATACAGAGCAGAGGGAAAGCCCAGACTTTGAGGCGGTTTTTTTTTTTAAGCTGTGCCTGGATCTCCTTGCTGTTGTCTGCCTTGATAATAAAACGCAGGCAGCATCATAAGATCAACGCTGCCCAATGAAAAACGACAAGTTTTAGCCCAAGACCGGGGTACATGGGTTGAATCACTCTGATGGCTTCAAAATCGATCTTTCTTTCAGACCATTGCGATCATTCGATGATAACTGTACAGAGCCATTTGTACCAGCTCAGGCATAATGAGTTTTTACATTGCCCCCAAATGGGGACACTCGTTTTCTGGGGCGTGGGTCAGGAAACGTAGAAGCTAGCAGCAGGAGTAGGCCATTCGGCCAATTTGAGATTTGCTCCGGCCCATTCCGTAAGACCATCCAGCTCAACGGCCTGTCCTCGATTATTCCCTACGTCCCATGATCCCTTTAGGCTGTGTCCATCTCCTTCTGGAAAACCGTCAATGCTTTGGGCCTTCTCTGCATTCCCCGGAATATCTGAGCGACAGGGTGTGTTATCGAGCGGCCACTCACCACCATTCAGGAAAACCAGCTTCCCTCCTTACACATTCCCTCCCTCCAGTTTTGGGCACACTGCGGGGGCAGGGGGCAGCGATGAATAATCTCTACATATTGGGGGCAGACTGCAGAAACCCACTGGGACATCTTCAGGCTCCGATTCTAAAGCACGGGTATCCAAGTGAGAACTTAGCTGCTGAATGTTGAATTGGGTTTTCTGAACGAAATTATTTGAAGGGGCAAGGAACGCTACAGCACAGGAACAGGCTCTTCGGCCCATCAAGCCCGCGCCAATACACTACGTCATTCTAAACGAAAGGCCGTTCCCCTCTCGATCTTTGTCTCCCTTGCCCATTTCCTGTAGCAGGGCGGAACTAAGGCCCGGGTTGATACAGCGAACCATTTCACAGTGCTACCCACGCCCTCTGCACTGGCGATTGGCATTCAGTAGCGGCATCAATGTCTGGTCAGTACTCACCAGTCAATCAACTCGTGTCGCTGGCCTCTAGGCCCCGTCGGGCAGCTCGAAGTTCGAAAGGAAGGATTTCACAAGGGCCCGCCCCGGGAACGTGTCCCATTTCAATGAGGGCCCTCATTATATGTTGCGCTCCTTCGTGAAATCCTGCTCCATCTGATCTCCCATGTCGCACCTCTCCCCACCCCACCGACAACCTTTCCGACTCCTATTCCGGCTGGAACTCACCACCATTTTGGGGATGTCAGTAGGCAATTGGCATGCAACCTTCATCAGGACGTCACCTTTCCTCCCTCTGTCCCACTCTGCGTGGAGGCGATCCATGAACGTCTCGCACATTCGACAAGTCATGGCAGGTAGTGCTGTGTTACAGGCAAACAGGAGAGATCGGAGTTAAAATCAGGCAGCGGATGCGCAGCGAATAAGAAATGGACGCGTCGCATTCTTTAGGCCACCCCCCACCCCAGGGTTACGAACGGTCAAATGCCAACAGAAACCAAGGAGAGCCAAGGAAACACCCACGTTCTTGTGATGGGCCATCAATACTATCCCCTGAGCGTGGGACATGACTGAAGCTCCCACAGCATTCCTGTGGGAATCTCGTCGGCACATCGATGTGCCTTAAGGTAACAGGACCAGGGAGTTAGACACAAGCCCCGGTTTAGGAAAACTGCCGGTTCAGAAGGATCACAGGATACTTACCTTCATTAACCGAGGCATAGGTTTAGGAGCAGGGAGGTTTTTGCTGGGAACTGTATATAAAACATCGGTTAGGCCACACAGCGAGAGTATTGTGTGCAAGTTCTGGAATCCACATTATAGGAGGGATGTGATAGCACTGGGAGAGGAGGCAGAGGGAGATTTACCAGGATGTTGCCTTGTGGGGGCTGGAGAGTTTCAGTTGTTGAAGAGGGATTGGGATGGACAGGGGGTTGTTTTCCTTAGAGCAGAGGGGATTGAGAGGGGAGACATGATTGAGATGGATAAAGCGATGAGAGGTATTGATAGGGAAGACAGGAAGGAACATTTCCTCTTGATGAGGGGATCCTGTGTGTGTAACAAGGGGCTGAATGGCCTACTCTTGATCCAGTAACTAATGGTCTTAGGCTCGGCTCAATTTGTAGACAGATTTGTTTGGTTGTTGGGTTAGAACCGGTTGACCTTCCCCACGAGCAGCAGACAGCATTTACAGATGCACTCGCCTCTCGGAAATAGTCCCTGTTCAACAGAAAAGAGACGACAATTACGTTTGGGATCAGGCCCGTCAAACCGAGAAGCTGATCCACGCTCAGGATGGAATACTGTAACAGTTTCCCACATGTCCTGTTTTTCATATTCCCCGTCACCGAGAGGACGGTCGGGAATTTTGTGAGAAAGCAGAGGTTCTTTCTGTTGGGCATACAGGGATGGGACTGGTGCTACTGTAACACATTCCACCTTCAACCGCGCACCCCCCACCCAAACTTGCTGTCCATTCTATCAGCCCTGACACTATTCGAGCATCAATCCCAAAGCAGCCAAAAAGCTGGCATCAGACCTGGGCATTTCACAGGGGAAAGGATTTCCACCTCCTGCAATTTCAGAGACGGATTTTGTTTGTGTCTGTCTGTGTGAGAGAGAGAGAATGAGGGAGTGAGAGTGAGTGAGAGAGAGTGAGAGAGTCTGTGTGAGTGTGTGTCTGTGTGAGTGATAGAGAGAGAATGAGGGAGTGAGAGAGAGTGAGAGAGTCTGTGTGAGTGTGTGTCTGTGTGTGTGTGAGAGTGTGTGTGTGTCTGTGTGTGTGTGTGTCTTTCTGTGTGAGAGAGAATGAGGGAGTGAGAGGGAGTGAGAGAGTCTGTGTGAGTGTGTGTCTGTGTGTGTGTGTCTGTGTGTGTGTGTGTCTGTGTGAGAGTGTGTGTCTGTGTGAGAGTGTGTGTCTGTGTGTGAGAGAGAGAGAATGAGGGAGTGAGTGAGTGAGAGAGAGTGAGTCTGTGTGAGTGTGTGTCTGTGTGTGTGAGAGTGTGCGTGTGTCTGTGTGTGAGAGTGTGTGTCTTTCTGTGTGAGAGAGAGAGAATGAGGGAGTGAGAGGGAGCGAGAGAGTCTGTGTGAGTGTGTGTCTGTGTGTGTGTGTGTGTGTGTGTCTGTGTGAGAGTGTGTGTGTGTGTGTCTGTGTGTGTGAGAGTGTGTGTGTGTGTGTGAGTGTGTGTGAGTGTGTGTGTCTGTGTGTGTGTGTGTGTCTGTGTGTGTCTGTGTGTCTGTGTGTGAGTGTGTGTGTGTGCCTGTCTGTCTGTGAGTGTGTGTCTGTGCCTGTGTGTGTGTGTGCCTGTGTGTCTGTGTCTGTGTGTGTCTGTGCCTGTGCGTGAGTGTGTGTGTCTGTGCGTGAGTGTGTGTGTCTGTGTGTGAGTGTGTGTCTGTGTGTGTGTGCACATGTGTGTGTGTCTGTGTCTGTGTGTGCCTGTGTCTGTGTGTGTCTGTGCGTGTCTGTGTGTCTGTGTGTGTGTGCACATGTGTGTGTGTGTGTGTGTGTGTGTGTGTGTCTGTGTGTCTATGTCTGTGTGTGCATGTCTGTGTGTCTGTGTGTGTGTCTGTGTGTGTGTGTGTGTGTGTGTGTCTGTGTGCGTGTGTGTCTGTGTGGTGTGTGTCTGTCTGTCTCTGTGTGAGAGTGTGAATAGCGTGTGAGAGAGTGTGAGACAGTGTGAGAGTGTGCGAGAGTGTGTGAGAATGTGAGAGAGTGTGTGAGAGTGTGTGAGAGTGAGAGTGTGTGTGAGAGTGTGATAGTGAGAGAGTGTGTGAGTGTGTGTGAGAGTGTGAGTGTGATAGTGAGAGAGTGCGTGAGAGAGTGTGTGAGAGTATGTGAGAGAGTGTGTGAGAGAGTGTGTGAGAGTGTGTGAGAGAGTGTGTGTGAAAGCGTGAGAGAGTGTGTGTGAGAGAGTGCGAGAGAGAGTGCGAGAGAGAGAGTGTGAGAGAGAGTGAGTGTGTGAGTGTGAGTGAGAGTGAGTGAGAGTGAGTGAGTGACCAGTGACCCTTGTTTGGAACTGGTCTCGAAAGCTAGCTGTGTTTCTCTCTCTCTCCTCAAACACTGCTGTGTCTGTGGAGTTTCTGCTGCGTATTTTTGTAGCAGCGTTGGTGTTTAATTGCACGTCGGGCCAGTGTATTCCCATTCAGGGCCAGCGCTAACTCCAAGAGGAAATCGGCAAAGAGACTTCCTCATGACAGCTGCCTGGAATCAATTTCAGTTTGGGTCAGTCTCCATCTCTTTGCAATAGCAGTGGGTCAGGCAACTTATTCCCATGCTGAGCTGCAGCAAACCTGGACATTCCTGACTGAGGTCACTGTCTGAGTCCTACCTTGGAACGTTTCCCCGTCCCGTTGGAAACTGGCGAGGAATTGACTGAATCCGACACGTTTTCGGGCGTGGGTTCGACCTGAAGGGGCTGGCACAAACTGAGGGCCGTACAGAGCACAGCGAATTCCTGGGAGAGACCAGACCATGCCCGGGGGTTAGAGCGGGATAGACACTGTTAAGGGGAGACGGTTTTCCAGGATCCCTCCACCCCATCCGCTTCGGGAATCCTTCGGGACACCGCGCGTCCAACCCCCCCTCCCGAAACAGCTTAGACCGTGACTGGGACCTCCTCATTCAACTCAGAAATGGGAACGGCATCCCAAGGAAGTGAGCTGGCAGCAACGATGTTGGAGCTAATGGGGGGGTGGGAAGTGAGCGGGCACCGCACAGGGCATTGGAAGGGTGGCAGGGTTGATGGTCGACGGGAGACCGGTTTCGGGGGGGTGGTGCTGGGGGGGGAGGGGTGGAGGCAGGGGTTTGGGAGCTCAATCTGCAAACCTCAGGCAGACGCGTTCGCAGCCGGGCACTTACCACATCTTCTTGAAGGAGCTTAATTGTTACAGACCACTCATTATCCACAAAAGCTTGACAATGCTGCGAGATCTCTTGGTCCCTGATCTTTTCACAGCCTTCTCGCAATATGCTTTTCACCTCTTCCTGTTAAAAGTAAAACGCAGAGAGAGAATCCAGCTGCTCGGCGGTTACGGTACAGGACGGATCATCTAAATGTGTGTTATAAAGCACATCCACCACCCCCGAGAACTAAAACCCAAAACGCCCAAAGAGGAATGCCCTGTTATCTGTGAAAGGAGTGTGCAAAGTGTAAAAAGCAACTTCTAGTGGTTAAATAAAACAAATCCCTGTCACTCCCTTTACAAATCAACAGGTAACAAACCACTTATCTGTCTCTAACAGTGGGCAAATTAACAAAATTATTAACAAACTGAATAAATCCCTTCTAACTCCTAACTATTCCCGAGTAAAACGAGGTCCTAATGGTATGCTGTTCCAATAAATACAAGTCCCACTTGTACAAAACAAAAAAACTAAAAGAAAAAGAAATTAGTCTCTCGAAATTACAGCCAGGTTACGTGGCTTCCGGAACATTCTGTGCCTTCTCCGTCAAATGTTCCGTCAGGAATATTAACTCGTTGTGCCGTAGGTACCTTTGATCTGGATGGTGCCTTCTCTAAAACTTAGAGACGCCTGTGAGAGCCAGTGATTCTCTCTTGCAGGCAGCGAGCTGTTAACTCTGGCAGATGGCAGTTAGTTCTCATGTCTTTGTCCAACTTCCACCCCCCCCCTCTTCTTTTATATCCTTGATGACATATCAGGTTCTTACAATAGGATTGGTCCTATGTTGTCAAAGCCATCAGATTTAAATTTAGAGATAGTAGGAACTGCAGATGCTGGAGAATCCGAGACAACAAGGTGTAGAGCTGGATGAACACAGCAGGCCAAGCAGCATCAGACGAGTTAATTGGTTTTTGGTTTCTAAGTGCCTGGTTCAAACTGATTGGCTAAATTCAAAAGCTTGTCGTCTTGTTAAAAACATCTGCTTGGCCTGTTAACTGTACGGCTTTTCAATACAAATGTTTTAATTTGTATTTGCAAACTTGCAAGCTGCTGATCGCAGATGCCCATTTTCAATCTCTAAGCATAGAAAAAGCACATCATCTTTTAAAGGGACCACGCAATGCTCCCCCCCCTCCCCGCCTCCAACCCTCGCATTTTACAAACACCAAGTTCTAACTTCGTGCCTCCCAATATGCACAACTGCTCTACCCCAACTTTGCAACACTGAGCAATAAGGGCACCCACTGTAATCCACAATGCCAAGGGTACAGTTTGCAATTGGGCACAGGGCACCATCTATCAATCCACATGGACTGGGCTGGTCACTTAGAAACTGAAAATTACCCTCACGCCACCCCCCCAAAAAAAATGACCAACTTGGTTGAAGCTTTTCATTTTGCCCTCATCACAAGAATGCCAATTTGTGGGCAGGACCAACATGGGTGCTGCATAAGATGAGGGTGCTGATTGGACAGCAAGTGGATTCTGATTGGTGGAGGTGTTGCCATGGAGACCAGGGTCACCAGTACCCTGCAAGCTGGTTCCCGTTTCAGCATCAAACTATCATATGACCTGGTTATTAGGACTTCCACACACTGCGCATGTTTAATTCAGCACAAGGAAGGGGTTGTGGGGGGAGACCTTCCCTGGTTTATATCTCAGGGTAATGCCTTGACCAATCAGAGTTTAAACAAAGCCTGGAAGTGAACTGCCGCTCGCTGCAAACTGGTACATTCTCGCCGGCAACACCTTGGCCCATTAGAGAGAATGTCTCTCTTGGATGCTAGCCCTCTTTCCCGCTCAGTGGGGGCACCAGCACGGAAAGAGATTGTTGGCCAATTAGTGGAAGTATTTTATCCAACATAGGAAACATTGGAAGAGAAACAGAAATTGCTGGAGAAAATTAGTGAGGGGTCTGGCAGCGTCTGTGCGGAGAGAGAGACAGAGAGAGCAGAGTTGGCGTCTTGAGTTCAGTCAAGAGCAAGTAAGATGAGCTAAGGTTTTTGGCTCAACTCTAAGGATATGCTCCCCAAACACCTTTTGAAGGAGTTTCGGAATCTTTCGGGATTGTCCAAACTATCCATGAATTTATAAAAATGAGCAAGCTCTTCGGGAACGTCAAACTCCAAGGAAAGAAATGGGAATGGCATCCCAAGGAAGTGAGCTGGCAGCAATGATGTTGGAGCTAATGGGGGGGGGAGTGAGCGGGCACCGCACAGGGCATTGGAAGTGTTGATGGTCGACAGGGGGTGGTGCTGGGGGAGGCGGAGGGTTTGTTTTCATAAGGGATCGGTTGTAGCAATTTGCACGTGGGAAATCCATTTCATTTAACCAATGAGAGAGAGAGCCGTTCGACACCGTGACGTCAAATGACGCCTAAGAAGACTGAGCGTCGCCACGGGTGAGACTGAAGCGGAGGCGTGAGGGGATGGAGTACAACGCACAGATGGGCAGGAGAGGGGGGGCACGGTGAGGGTGGGCCGAGGGGCCTCAGATGGGCACGGAGGGCTGTATGGGTGGTGCAGGATGTCAACTGGCATGGACGGGGCACGGGCGGAGCACGCGGGAGCGAGGAGTGTTTTTTTAGTTCAATCAGCGTGTTTCCCCAATCTTCCGCAAAGTTACAGACGTAGGGGCCTTCGCTGGCAAATCGGACACCCCCCATTACCCAAAAGGGGTTTGTTTATCTCAGTTGTATCCCGCTCCCCACATTCCCGACAGCACCGGGATAAATCTGTGCCAAGCTGGACAGAGCCTCAGTGCCACAGGATAGTTAGAGCTGCAAGTAGCAAGAATTCAAAGGTCAGTGAGGTGTATGGAGAGCTTACCTTCATTAACCGAGGCGTAGAGTTTAGGAGCAGGGAGGTTTGGCTGGGAACTGTGTATAAAACATCGGTTAGGCCACACAGCGAGAGTATTGTGCGCAAGTTCTGGAATCCCCATTATAGGAGGGATGTGATAGCACTGGGAGAGGGAGCAGAGGGAGATTTACCAGGATGTTGCCTTGTGGGGGCTGGAGAGTTTCAGTTCGTGAAGAGGGATTGGGACAGACTGGGGGGTTGTTTCCCTTAGGGGAAAGGAGATTGAGAGGAAGGGGGCGTGACTGAGATGGATAAAACGATGAGGGGGTAACGACAGGACGTAGAGATTCAGAGACAGAGCGTCTGGGAGGACAGGAAGATGGTGTGTCGGTTTGGGTGTGACCCCAGCGAATGGCTTTTTTCTGATCTGTGCACCCCAGCAACCGTCCCCTGTACGCGAACAACAGTACCTCTGCGGAACTTTTCCGAAGGGGGGCAATGATGTCTTCCATGTGCTCTATGCACTGATCGCAAACCTGGTCTTTCTGGAAGAGAATAAAGTTGTCGTCTGTGATGAATCTTACTCTGATTAATCATCACAAAAAGCACAGTTCCAATCACTCCACACCTACCCCCTGCCCCCACACCCTCTCAGAATGCTATGGGATATCTCCTTAGATGTGCAAGCGAGGTCAGAGATCGCTGCCGTTTCCGAATGGCGGACTCAGTGAGAGGAATATGGACCCAGAGAGAGTCATTCAGCTCAAACACATCCATCCAAATCCCTCTTCGACCCGTTCACTGTCTCCCCGTTTCCATGGGGAATTAATAACACTGCTCGGACAACTGATGGCACCAGAAAGTTGGTGACCAGGGACAATTGGGAAACCATTCAGCTCTTTGGTTCTGTTCCGCCATCTTGAAATTGCGCCAACTGCTTCTACACTTGGCCAAACACGGGGTGGGGGGGAGTCTTCGCTCCTGTCTGTTCCTGTAAATATTTTGCCGATTCCAACGGGATCACCTCTCGGCTCGAGGCCCCAGAGAGGACAAGCCCGGTTTCCCCAAATGCTCTTCTGAAGACAGGCTTGTTGGCCCAATGTGGTTAACCTTTGTTATCCATCGCTATAACAACCGGCCTACTCCAGGGATGGCCTCAGCAAGGCTCTACCCATTTGAGGCAAATCTTTCCTTCTCAAATCTCCTTGTGACAAAGGCTGAAACCCCTTTGTTGCTCGTCAATATCTGTTGTACCTGTACGTTCGCTCTCATGGACTCGTTAACAAGTATGTCCCCTTTGGACATCAACAATTTTCCCTGTTTCCATTAGGAAATACTCTACCCTCCCCTACTTTCCACCAGGATAACCTCACTTTCTTCAACATCATAGTCCATCTGCCGTGCTCATGCCCCCCTCAGGGTAATTAGTGGGAAGGTAATAGATGCCCACCTAGGCAGCTTTGCCCAAATCACATGGCAGACTGTTTTTTGCCTGTCAGCTGATCTTCAATCCTCGCGAGGACATTTCCTTTTGTTCCACATGCTTTAATTTAGCTCGCTGAGCTCCTGTGGCGAACTCAACCAAAATCCTTCTGAAGATCTAAGTACGTTGCACCTCCCAGAATCCCCTGTACCGATTATGTTAGTAAGGCCCCTGGAAACATTCCGACGTGTCTGTCAAACGCAATTCCTCATTCTCCGGCCCATGCCGACCGCAGCGATCTGCATTCCTCATTTTCCCTTGTCACTATGTCTGGGAGATTCCTTGTGTCTTCCTCAATGAAGTCGCAAAGCAACAATTCAGCTTCTCTTCCAATCCTAGACTCCCCCGCCCACCAACCACTTTACAATCTTCTGAATTAAACGTTTCCTTTTCGCGGACCTGCAGAAGCTTTTGCAGCCCATTTTTATGTCTTCAATCATTTACCTTCCTACAGTATTCTGCTTTCCTCACCCAGTCTCTTTGTGCTCCTTTGCTTCATTCTAAAATCCTCCCAATCCTTAGGTTTACTGCTATTTCTGGCAACTTTACGGGAGGGGGCGGTGTGGTTTCTGCTAATTTATTTGTGTTTTATCTTTTCTTTACAACATCCTGAACCTCCTTTGTTAGCCACAGTTTTTGGGAGGGCTTTTGTGCCTTGAAAGAATCTACAGTTGCTGTAGACTGTGTAATAATTCTTGAAAGGCCATCCATTACATGTGCAATCTCTGATACATTTTCCCGTTTGACCTCTGCCAATTTCCCTCCTCATAGCTCTACGATTTCCTCTGTTTAAATTCCATGTCCTCACTTCAGACTGACGGGGTACAATTTGTCTGAAAAGGAAAAGCGAACAGGTTGTGTTCAGGCACTTTGGAATTAAAATAAAAACATGTTTCGCTTGGCCCGAGCAGATCCAAAAGTGGATCGGAAAACTGAAAGCGCCGTTTATTCCCGAAGCAGATGCTCCCAGGGTTGGAGGCGAAAGGATTCCTGTGTCTCGCTTCCAAACAGAATCTAAAAGAATGTTATGATCACTGGTGCCGAAAAGGTGCTTTTCGAACAGGAGCTCCCATCTTTGTTTGGGAGGGAGCTGGTTCTCTCATTCGCTCACCTCTAACGGAGGGGTGTGCGGGTTGGGGGGGATGTTGCCATGATGATATTTACCCGGTTAGGTCGGCTCCAAACGGTTTCAATGCAGTGGCGGATGGCATTGCACTCAGAGGCGATATGCAAATTCTCGCACAGGTTATGGATCAAAAAACACGTGGCCTTCCGTGCTTCGATGCCAGCCAGAGCTGAGGGGCACCAAAAAAAACACACATTTACTGCCATTTGTAATTCCCAACATCCCCCCCTCTCAAAAAAACACACACTTACTGCCCTCCTTTACGGCGCAGACCCTGGACGTCCCGCTCC